AGGTTGTGGTGGAGGTGGAGGTGGAGGTGGTGGCTGTGGTGGAGGTGGAGGTAGTTGAAGTACACATTAATGACTTTGTTAATACATGTGAGCAACTACAAATATATTGTATATTATTTTTCTAAGTTCAGCATAAAATATACTTTTAAAATATCTATTGAGCTACATTTTCGATATTATTTCTTAATTTCTATTGTACATCTGTATTGCATACATATTGATAGTTAAAGATGACGAAGTCGAGTGATTCTTATCTATGGAATGATTAATTACAATGAGAATTTTTTTTTCAATATATCTTGAGGGTATGTGTGTAGCAATGAGAGTAGAATAGATACCTACAATCCAACTCACATCCTTACACTTCTAGTTTTTTATCTTAAGAAAAATGTTCACAAAAAAAGTCATTGATTATCATGAGAAATAATTTATGTTCATATTTTATAGACAGATAATCAATCATTGTTTTGTCTTCTGTTGTTTTGAGATCTTTTCTTTCTATATATTAATAGCTTTCATATTTAATCAAGAAAAAGCTGCAAAACATCAACAAACAGAACGGAAAAAATATATATAAAGGAGGAGGAGGAGGAGGAAAACGAACACATGCTCTAACTCTATCAGTTGATAACTATGCATTCATTCGTATCGTGCCAATAGACATTCTTCCTACCAATATCGATTTATAACTTTAATGATAAGTAATCATCTGATGTTTTTCGTCGATATGTATGTATCAATGAATTCTAGGCATGTTTTTTTTTTCTTTCTTATAATTATCGCTTGATTCTCCATGTTATTTACTCATTTAATAACATCCGCCGGATTTGTTATAATAACATGCATTATTCTCTTGTCTTTCTATTCTATTAAGACAAGACATTGACGTATCTCGTATAAGAATATTCAACTTGTTTTATCAAATTAATTTTTTTTAAGTATGGAATTATTTTCATTAACAACAAATATTACAATTACAGATATACAATGGCAAGCATATCCAATTGGTATCTTTCTACTATTACTATGTTTATTTATAATATTAGGAAATTTATTGATTATATATGTTATTATTCGTGAAAATACTTTACATACATCGACATATTATTATATTGCATCATTGGCTTTTGCAGATCTTTTAGTTGGATTAATTGTTATGCCATTTGCATTTATATTTGAAATGACCAATGATGAATATTGGTTATTTCGACGAAATTTACAATTTCTATGTGATTATTGGCATTCAATGGATATTTTCGCTTCTACAGCATCAATTTTTGCTTTATGTATTATTGGATTAGATCGTTATATAGCAATTACAAAACCAATTGAATATCTAAATTCATTTCTATCAAAAAAATGGGATTATATATTATCAATTATATGGATAACGTCGGCGGTCATAGCATTTCCAGCTGTCGCTGTTTTTGGAACAGCACAAACAGTTTCTCGTATGTAAAGAAAAAATTTTTTAATCCGAAGATAAGTATTGTATTTCATTTAGGACAATTATCGATATCAAATGAAACACTATCAACATCTTCATCGTCATTTAAAGAATGTGAATTTCCAAATAATCCATATTATATCTTATTCATTTCGATTATCTCGTTTTATTTACCATTAATTGTTATGATTTATTTTTATATTCAAGTTTATGCCGCAGCAAGACAACAAGCTGTAGCACTTCGTACTGGTTATAAACATCATTATCGAATTAAATCGGCTAAATCATTGATTCCAAAATTACATTTGAAAAAAAATAATGAGAAAGAACAATCAACAACGTCCACACCTTCAGATCTAATAACACTTCGTATTCATCATGGTAAATATCATAATCCAAGTATAGAATCGATTAATGAAAAATCAATGAATAAAACTAAAAGAAAACCTGTACAAACGAAAATTTCTTGGAAAAAATTTTCCAAAGATCAAAAAGCAGCGAAATTCATTGGTATTATTATGGGTGCATTTGTATTTTGTTGGTTACCTTACTTCGTATATTTCTTATTAAGTGGTGTATTTTTCATACGTTTAAAAGATGAACATTATCATGAACTTTTATTCAAAATATTCTCTTGGCTTGGATATGCTAATTCTGCGTTAGATGTTCTCGTTTATGTTGCCACTTCGAAAGAATTACGAATGACATTTTCTAAATTATTCGTACCACATAGATGTAGACGTACACATTGATTTATATAGATAAAGAGCAATTTGAAAATTTATTCAAGAAGTTTTTTTTCTCTAAAATATGCTTGACCGCCAACCCTTACGTTTACCTGAATGCTATTCTTTTGAACTAGTGTTTGAATAACTAATTGAGTCAATCAAGGAAAGTATTGATGTATATGATGAAGAAATGATGTTAGAATATCAGGAGAAAAAAAACGTCGATTGAAATTTGACTGAAAACTTAAACCAAGTACAAACAAATTGCCTTTTCCCATATGCGATCGATCTCTTGAAAATAACATTTGAAATAGTTCAATAATTATTTCTGTATCAGAACTTTCCATATACAGGCTGTTCAATTTGGGTGATCGAATAGAAATATTCCAAGTACTATCTATGAGAGTTTTAAGTATAGCAGGAGAATCTCCAAAACATTGTTCATGATATGCAATGAGAGTACTGCAATGCGATATTTGTTTAGGAGTTAAATTTTTTTCCAGCTGCGTCGCGTTTATATTTCGTACAAATTTCTTAGTGAAACGATTGTAGACGAATAAAGTCGCATATGAGAATTCGAAATTTTTTGAAACGTGTTTCAGCGTCAGTGCTTTCAATATCTATCTGCAGCTTATCTAATGTAATCTGTACCTTGATCAGTTGTTTAATGTTTATCATAACCTCAAAGAATTTTGTTAGCACTTCAATATCGTGTATATTGATGGAGAGACATTTAATGTAGGCCATCTGTGAAACATTTTGAAAGTCACCGGTTGTAAATATCTACGTGGGTCGCAAAGTTAATATTGTTAAGTTAGAGAGTGATGAGATCTTCATGATTTTGACTGTATCTTGATTACAACTTGTCACTGACAATACTGATAATGATGGTAACGAAAGAACTTTAGTTAAAAATGTATCCGAATACTGTGAATGATTTAAGATTATCGACCCAGTGAATATACGGATGAAGTAATTGTAAATGATTATCAACGTTGATTTAAATTGCTGAACGCATAGATTAGATTGAACGTATGCAAATACGAAAGAATGAGTAAGTAAAGCTTATCCGATAGAGATTCCGTTGAAGTAATTGATGAAATTTTTTTTCTATGAATGAAGGCGATGATGTATACGTTATTGTATACATTGAAAAAGGATGAGAGATGCCTTGTACCATCCTGACTCATGTAATCAATTTGATTAATATGACAACCTTAGGATATTATTCATAAAACCATCTTGATGGTGAGGATATAAATATCTCATCCTCATGATTTCACATTTCGTTAAGAGATCTTTATGAAGAATAAAATCTTGTTTTATTATAGAAAACAGATAAATGATTAGCTATTTCAGGAGTAAGATAAAAGCATAAATGATTAACTATTTCAAGAGTAAAATAAAAAAAATAAATGGTTAACTATTTCGAGAGTAAAATGAAAAGATAAAAAATTAAAATAAAATTTAGTCCATAAGTTATATTTGCGAGGATTTCAAATTATCAACAAGTGGCTGTTGATGGATATTGAAATATTATTTTACTACATAGTCGAGTATATGTAGCACCATCAAATTGTGCACCTTGTTCGTAATAGACAGTATGAGATCCACCACCTAAGGAATAGTAACGTGCACCAGCTTTAAGAAAAATCGTGCGACCAGCCCCACCACCACCATAAACAACAACGTTGTTTTCTAAATAAGAGTATCCACCACCCCAGCCATTGAACATAACGCTAACACCAGCACATAAAGCAATATCATCATGATATGTTGTTAGTGTTGTTAGAAAAGATAAAAGTGATGGCTTGTAGATATAGACAGATGATGGAATATTAACAAGACAGGTTGTATTTGGTGCTACAAAGAAAATTGAAGATAAGCTTGATAAAATAACTACTATTATTACCTAATGAAGTTACAACACGCGGAGTTGTTGTCGTTGCTGATGGTTTTGTTGTAGTTGATGTTGACGTTGATGTTGACGTTGTTGTTGATGTGGTTGTTGATGATTTTGTTGTAGTTGATGTTGATGTTGATGTGGTTGTTGATGTAGTTGTTGACGTGGTTGTTGATGTTGTTGTTGATGTTGTTGTTGTTGTTGTTGACGGTTTTGTTGTTGATGAAGTTGTTGATGTTGTTGTTGTTGTTGTTGACGTTGTTGATGGTTTTGTTGTTGATGAAGTTGTTGATGTTGTTGTTGTTGACGGTTTTGTTGTTGATGAAGTTGTTGATGTGGTTGTTGTTGTTGTTGACGTTGTTGATGGTTTTGTTGTCGTTGATGTCGATGTTGACGTTGTTGTTGATGTGGTTGTTGTTGTTGACGGTTTTGTTGCAGTTGATGTTAATGTGGTTGTTGTTGTTGACGAAGGAGTTACGGTTGCAGCTGCAGGAAATAACGTACTAGGTACTGCTTGTACAGTTGAATAGGAAGTTGATAAAGCTAATCCGACTCGATTCTGTTGCATA